ACAAAACATTTCCCTATAAAAGCCAATTAAAAACCAAATATTTGTAGCTGTGTCTTGTTTAAAATCATTAAAATTGTCCCTATTTAAAAATTCACCCTAGGTCAGTCCCGCTTGCTGAAAAAGCCAAGTCTTGAGGGCGCGGCGGAAGGTTAGGAGATCCGGAATCGTCCGGATCTCGGGGGGTAGTTCGTTCCAGAGGATTGTGGATTGTGGGGTCCTGGGTGCTCTCTGAGCTGGGTGGTCTCCTTGCAGACCCAACTAGGTAACAGCATCAGTGCATTCAAGTCCCAACTGTGCTTGTAAGGGCTACCTGTGCTATGTTTCCTCCTAGATTACAATACATTTACACAAGGCTGGCTTGGCTGTGATTTGCAGACTGAAGAACTGGTCTCCATATTGCAGGAATCCCAGCCCCTCCCCCACCCGCTGCTCCGTCCAGCCCCCTCCTCACCTTTGTTTTCTCACTGTTCGTAATAGGAGGGAACGAAATCACGGCACCTTCGGCATCAGCCAGGCAGGGATAATTTTCTTTCCCATCCAGGAGCTGAAGGTACCTGCCAAGATTGGAAGGAAGAAGGCCCACATTATTAGGACACTATTAATGGTCGTATAAAAATAATTTAGTTTAAATCTAAATTTTAATGAAGAATTTGAGTTTATTTGAGCACAAAATCTTTGTTTCTTTTAGGAAACCCTGCCAGGAACCCCGTTTAATCTACAGACGTGGTAACTCTTGAGCCCATGCTCCACCCTACTTTTTCTCCTCTGCCTCGAACTCATGACGCACTTGTACAATCCAGAGATATTCTGTCTTTTTTTCTGTTTCCGTTGCTCTTCAGCTTCGGCCTGCAACTGGCGAAGGAGGTCGTTGGCCTTTGTCTCCTTCCGGCCCAGGGGGACGATCTGAAAAACAGGAAGCGTTTCATCACATCCGTTCCAAAATGGGCAGGACCTCAGGCAGCTTCGGAGAGAAAGACTGAGGCAGAAACAGGCAAGCAACTTATAACCGTGGGGTCCTGGGTGCTCTCTGAGCTGGGCTGTTTTCTTACCGATGTTTCATGACCCAACTAGGGAACATCATCAGGGCTAGGAGAGGGGGGCATTGATGATGTTACCTAAATGGGTCCTGAAATGTCTGCAAGGAAAGCAAACATGCTCAGGGAGCACCAAGGACCCCCCCCTCCTGCTCCCCCTCCTCTCCAGAAACCCTCTGCTGGAGCACAGCCCACCTTCAACTCCTCTGGGGCCCGAGCTTCGTAAACAAGTGGTCCTTTCACCAGCTGCAGGTCGTGAGTCGCAATGGTGGCTGCTGTTCGTTTCTCACAAAGGTCCTCGTGGAGTTTTGTCTGTTTGTGGGATTAAAAGAAAAACAGCTTTACATTTATTTTGAACTATTCCTTATTCCAGCTCCCAATGGCTTAGTGCAGGGGTAGGCAACCTCGGCTCTTTTATGACTCATGGACTTCAACTCCCAGAATTCCTGAGTCAGCTATGCTGACTCAGGAATTCTGGGAGTTGAAGTCCATGAGTCATAAAAGAGCCGAGGTTGCCTACCCCTGGCTTAGTGCCTTTTTCGGAGCCCCACCTGCACGGAGAGGAACCTCTTCAGAGCATTGCCAGTGCAGAAATCCATGCCTTTCACCACACAGCACACGATGTAAGGGCGGACGTCTTTCGCACTGGGGCCGGCTTTCACCACCAACGGCGCCGGGTTGTCGGAGATGTGAAGAATTTTCACAAGCAGTTTTTGGGCATCTTCCAGTTCGTCATCGCTGCCTGTTTTCCTCTTGTTCTTTTCCCGCTTCTTTTTCCGGCTTTCTTCCTTCTCGGTGCCACCCTCCTGTTTGCCTCTCCCTCGGCGCAGATACTCCAAGATCGATTTGGTCTGGCAGCCGTTCACCATCTTCTCCAGCCGTTTGTCCTTGAGGGCGTTGCCTTTCAGGTTGACGTCCTTCAGCTTTGGGCAGTCGGCCAGTTCCGCTGGGATTTCGGAGAGCTTGTTATTGGAGACGTCCAAAGTCTGGACAAAAAGAAAACAGAGCCAGCTGTTTCGACCAAGGAAAGAGTGCAAAAGAGAGCAAATCCCTAGGGCAGGGGGTCTTCAAACTCGGCCCTTTTATGACTTGTGGACTTCAACTCCCAGAATTCCTCAGCCAGCCCCCTGCTCGAGCAGGAGACCCTCTGCCATTCCAGATGAACAGCTGTCCATTCTCTTCCTGAAGGCCTCCAGCGATGGAGCATCCACAGCTTTTTAAACCGTTCCACTGATTGTTTTCACTGTCAGGAAATTCCTCCTCATTTTGAGTATGGACCTCAGAATAGAGTTGGAAGGGACCTTGGAAGGTCCTCTAGTCTAGCCCAACCGCAGCTTGAGCAGGAGACCCTATGCATATGTAAGCCTCTGCTTTAATGGGGAGTCTGGGGGATCTACGGCGCCGGCATCCCCTCCCACCTTGGCTCACCTTCAGCCCGACCAGGCGGGCCACCTCGGCGCCCAGCACCTCCAGCTCGTTCCCGGCCGCCTCCAGCAGGCCCAGCAGCGGCAGGGGCGAGGGCGGCGGGCCGGGACGGCGACCCCGCTGAGCGGGCGGCGGGGGCAGCATCGTCCCCGGGAGGGC